TCTCAGTGATTTCATTACACACACACACACACACACACACACACACACACACACACACACACACACACTCCTACCCCTATTTAATCCTAAACTGCTTAAAGCTAAACCAAGAATCCAGTCCTCTACTTCTCTACCTACCTCACAGTCCTGGGCTCCTTCCTACTCATGGTGATGAAGAGAAAGGAGGTCAAGATGAAGGGTTTGCCCAACACCCACTAGCCCATCTTTCTACTGGCCTCTGCCTCCTTAAACCATTCAGGTCCCAAAGCTCTTCCCAGAATTTCCAATCACCACGGCTGGAGTAAAGGGACATTTATTGAGGGCCAGCCACTCCCAGAGTTCAGCTTCAAAGATATTAGCTGCCTTGCTACTCTGTCTCCCACAGAGGCCTTGATTTACTGTCTGGGTGGATTTATTCATAACTTTGGAGCAGAAGGCATAGACCAGAAAAGATGATATGCCTGCACTTGAAGTGCTCCAGTCCTTGTCAATCAAACCAAAGTAATTGGACCCATCCCAGAATGTGAAGGTCAAGCACATTAAGTGCTTAGAAGAAGAAAGTGCTCACTAATTGGCTATCATCATTTTCTTCCTCTCTCATCTAGGATGTGTTTCTCAAATTTAACACGTGTCCTATTTCTACCAACACTTCAAGACCCAAGGCCAATGGCAGCGTATCGAATCCCAGACACACAACCAGCATGGTTGAGCATTGTCTCTACTCCAAGCATAATGATGAGCACTGAGGATGCTCTCGATGCTCCCCTAAAGAAAGAGAAGAGAAATGACTCATCGCCATGCTATACTGCAAGTGCAATAGCCAAGGTACAATGGGAAGGGTAGCTGGTCAGATCTCAGTGGGTCTGAAGGCCATGACAAAACACTTGAACTGGAAACTGAGGTGAGAGAGGCTACTTAAAGGCTTTCAGCAGAGGAGTCCAATCACAAGTACATACACATAATTTTTAAAACTAAAATAAACTCTTTAAAAAGTGATGGATTTCAGTCTCTACACAGTGAACACCAGAGGCATTGATGCTGGACACTGTATAGTCATTGATGTTTAGGAGAGAACGTGACACAGAGGCCTTTGCATGTAGTAGAATATTTTAAAGGGTGTTACTTTTGTTTGTGTTGCATTTGTTTAACTCTGTGAAGCTGTGTTACTGTGCCTGTGTAAAACACCTGATGGTCTAATAAAGAACTGAACGGCCAATAGCGAGGCAGGAGAAAGGATAGGCTGGGCTGGCAGGCAGGGAGGATATACAGAAGAACTCTGAAAGGGGGATCAAAGAGCTAGCAGCCAGAGAAGAAGGAGGACTCCAGGGGCCACCCACCCAGCTACACAGCCAGTCACCAAGTAAGAAACAAAGAAAAATATTTGGGAATAGAAAGGAAAAAGCCCAGAGGCAAAAGGTAGTTGAGATAATTTAAATTATGGAAAGCTGGCAAGAAACTGGCCAAGCTAAGGCCAGGTATTTATAACTAAGAATAAACCTACACGTGTGTATTTATTTGGGAGCTGGGTGTCAGGCTCCCCAAAAAAGATCAGAAATAAACAACATTTTTGCATTCCAATGTGGGCTGTATTTCCATATAGCCTGAGAAAGCTACGGAAAAAAAAAGAAAAAAAGACACAGCTCCTTTAAGAGGTACTGCTGCTCAGCCTGCAGCGCTAAATAAAAAAAACAGCAAGCTAAGTAAAAACTGCCTGTGGCAACACACGGACTGGCTTCCACAGCTAGGAAGGTTGAATGCAGTTTTCAGTCATGAATCTCTGAGTGGTGCCAGGGCTCTAGGTTTGGCTTTCCCAACCCGAGAAGCGGGCGGAGCCAGCGGAGAGCCACGTGGAGAATCCAGGTGTAGGTTAGCAGTTTAAAAGTTTGCTCATGTAGTCAAAAAAGACTAGAGATACGAAGTAGAAGAGGTCCAGACAGACAAACCTCTAAGCAGGTTACAGTGTGTTTAACAATGTGCGTAGGCTTAAGGAAAGGAAAAGGGGGCTGGAGAGATGGCTCAGAGGTTAAGAGCACTGACTGCTCTTCCAGAGGTCCTGAGTTCAATTCCCAGCAACCACATGGTGGCTCACAGCCATCTATAGTGAGATCTGGTGCCCTCTTCTGGCCTGCAGGGATACATGCGGTATATGTAATAAATAAATAAATCTTTAAAAAAAAACAGTAGTAAGAAAAGGAAAAGGGTATAGTCATAGAAAAAAAAATGAATAGTTCATAAAATAAATTCTTTAAAGAGAGAGTAAAAGAAAAAAGCCACGTAAGGTGGGAAATACACAGGTCGTCTGGATCCTGTATGTGTTGACTGTTGAGAAGCAAAAGACAGCTATCAGGACACAGGAAAAAGACTGCCGAACTTTGCCAATACAAGGCAGGACAGTCCTTCAAAATTCCTGCTTCACGGAAGAGTCTGTCAGACATTCTGCAGGACACAGAGAAAAGCGACTGCTGAACTTTGCCACTACAAGGCAGGACAGTCCTTCAAATTTCCTGCTTCACTGTGAAGTCTGCCAAATACTATGGGCCTGTAGGCTGGAGATGGATGCCCCAATCTTGCAGAGGAACTCTGGGTGAACAGAATTCCACCTTAACCTTTGAATCTTGAGTTCTTTAGAGGGAGAGAGGTTTCGTTGAGTTCCCTTTGTAGCTTTGTGAGGGTTGGAGCATGAGGGAACAGATTTCCCTCAGCCCCTGCGGCCTAACCGCTGCTGGTAGCGGAGGAGTTGCGGTTGCTGACTCCGACAGCTGTGGCTTAAAAGGCAGCAACCATTTAAACAAAGGGCAACATTCGCACACCGTTTGAAAGTGGACAGACGTTCTCCTAGGAAACTGGAGCTGACTGGCTCGGCACCATCGCTGCCTTTTGTCGGTTCGTTTGGCCAGTCGACTGACGTTCACGGTCCACTTAAATGCCAGGCGCTGCTCAGGTACTGGGAGGGTTCCAACGAGAACCAGTCTAGTGAGAAAGGATCAGCTAAGACCAGAGGAAGACACTGGGGTGTGGCGTGGTCTGCCTGGGAGGTAGAGTGCGGAGAGGGAGATGCTGGAGATTTCAGACCACACCAGGCCGCGCAGCCTAGAGTAAAGGACTCCCGACTTCGTGGTGGATATAGGGAGCCACTGAAGGTTTTCAACAGGGGGGAGAGGGCCAGAGCTCAGCCCGATCACATCCCCTCATGCAGAACCGGGCTGTCTTCTTCGCTCATCCTGTTAGAGTCTCTTGAGACCTGTTTCCTACCTGGGATTCTTCTTCATGATCAACACAGTGCTTATTAAGAATAAACCACAGGGGCTGGAGAGAGGGCTCAGCAGTTAAGAGCACAGGCTGCCCTTGCAGAGGTCCTGAGTTCAATTCCCAGTAACCACATGATGACTCACAACCATCTGTAATAAGATCTGGTGCCCTCTTCTAGCGGGCAGGCGTACATGCAGAACACTGTATACATAATAAATAAATAAATATTTGACAACAACAACAAAGGATAGACCATAAACAAATGTTGAGAGTATATAATCACACACACACACACACACACACACACACACACACACACACACACACACTTTTAAAATATGGTATTGCTATGTAGCCCAGGCTGGATTTGAGCTCAAAAATCATCCTGCCTTAGTCCCCAAAGTGCTTGGGTTACAGGACTGAGGCCATGCCTGGCACATATTGGGTCTTATTACCCGAAGAACACACAGGGAAACTATGTGAGAGACTGGTCAAAGCCAACACATATGTGACCCTGGACAAGGGAAGCTCTCTGAGGGCCAGTGACAGGACTCAGTGGGTAAAAGAGCAGCTGCCAGCCCGGACCCTGACTTCTGCCAGCTGTCCCCTGACCGCCACACTCAATGGTGGCATGTGCACACACAGATAAATAAATACATTGTAATGTAAAAATAAAAAGAAGCTCGCTTAGGGTCCCCCAAGCACACCAAGAACATGCCCAGGAATCGACAGCTCTCGCCACGAGTAATTATCTTGTTGTATTTTGTTTGGTGTTTTGGCAGTGTGATGCACTGAGCCAAGTGCTGTACCCCTGAGCTACACCCCAGCCTGTGATGAAGTACCCTCTAAGTTCCTAGTCATTCATGTCAAAGCACCCTGACCACTCCTAGGGCCGTGTGAGGATTTATAGTCAGTGCCAAGGTTAGAGGAATAAATTCTGCGCCTGATGAGGGAGAGGAGCAGTATATTTTACTGAGCATTTACTGCCTGCCCGTCACCAGGCAGCTTTCCTTCACACACACGTACGCATATGACAAAGGGGGTGAACAGTTTGGACTCCCCTACCACCTCCTGACTTTTGGCTCTAGACCCCGCTCTTGCTATCTGCAGAGGCTCTGAGTTGATTCTCCCCCTCTGAAGGGCTTGTTCCCTCTGTGAATGCAGGAAAACCTCCCCGCCTCACTACAAAGCATTGATGAAATCCAAGGGCAATGAACCGCCAGGGTGAGTGAACACAGTCGGCGGAGATCTTATCAGCACCTAGGTATGGGCTTTTGTTTCTTAAGGGGTCAATCCTTCAATTCCATATCGACCACACACTGAATATTTACTATAACTGATAACCGGCAGGAAGGGCTTAAGAGAAACGAACAAACCGTCAGCAGACATCAGGGAGCCCAGAACCCCTCTGACTTCAGTAGACGAGCTTTTCCCAGAAATAAACTTAACTTCTCACATCGGTCTGACTCGATATTAAAAGGAGTTCACAACACCTGAGTCTGCTCCATTCCAGGAAGATGTCCCATGACAGGGCGGAGGATGGAGGACCAAGAGCATTACAAATAATTCCAAAGAAGACTTTCTGCACATGGTTAAAGGTTGAGCATAGTATTTTCTCGACGCCTACGTAAACTTCTGAGATAACGGCTTTGAAAATCTTGCACTGTCCCCTGTGCTCCTTGCCTGACGGCACCTGGCACCTGGCTCACACGCCTCGGGCAGCTCCATCACCATCCCTGCACCAGGCTTACCTGCTGGGCTGCTTCATGAAAGAGTTCCTGTGGAGACCTCTGGGCCATTCTCCAGGAAGTGAGGTCCTGATACTCTAGGTGGGGGGACCACTCTGGAAAGCAAACATCACTCTTGGTCAGGCCAGCTCCTCCTTCCCTTGCTGCTTCTCCTCTGCCCAGCCTTCCTTTGCACTAAGTAAGTAAGGCCCTGAGTGAGTGAAGCAGAAACCTTGTTGGACCCCATCTAGGGACTCCGTCCCCAGTGGCCCCTTTGGGACCTCAATCATGATCCAGAGCCCACCTGCTCATTTCCTGCTGTAGGGAAGCCACAGGAACCCCTACAACTCCCGGCTCCTAGAACTCCTGAAATATGGGGCGGGGGACGGGAGTAGGGGTGGGTGGGTGGGGTGACTGCTCAGCTGCCCAGCCCTTAAAGACACAGCCCCACACTCCATTCCCAATGCCTTGGGAACACGTTGTCCAGAGCAAAGGGCATGGCGGTCTCGCTGGAACCTGTGCTGGTGGTTGAGTGCAGGTGGAATGGACCCTAGGCAAATGGGGAGAGGGAAGATTGGGGGGTGTCTTGAGAGTCCCCCGGAGCCTGGCCAGAACAGGGCAGGTGAGGAAAAGATGCCCGGACAGCGCAGTTCTGGCCCACCAGAGGAGTCGGCCCTGGCTTTCCTGGGGGAGCCGGTCCCATGACCTTTGGAAGAAGAAAAGGAGCGAGAGAGAAGGGCGGAGGGGACCCTGCTCCCCGATCCTGCGGGGAGAAGGTTCCAGAGCGAATGAGGGGAGAGGAACTGGGGAAGATTCCCGTCAAGGGCTGGGTGTGGGGCGCATCACCCCAGGAAGAGCTGGGGGCTGCGGGGTGAGGCTTTGGGGGCCAGGGTCAGGTCCTCACGACCCCGGCCGCACTTGCCCTCCGCAGAGCTGCACCCGAGCCCTCACCTGCTCCTGCCCGGGCTCCCGCGGCCCCGCCCGCCCCGCCCCACCCCGCCCCGCCACGTGGCCGCGCTCCCGGCCACCTGCCCTGCGGTTCACGGACCCCGCCCCAGCGCCCACGCACAACATCTGTCCTGAAGGGCGGCGGTTCAGCCAGGTGACACCGAACAGGCAGGGAATGGAGCTTCTACGGACAAGAAAGCGCCCCAGGCATGCTTGCGAGGCAGGGGGATGACCCTCACCGCTTCAGCCAGACCCCCCCCCACCCCCCGAACTGCCTTCCCTAGGGGTGAAATAAGGCTTTCGGGGTCTGGGGGTGCAGGGGGAGAGGGGAATTAACCTACAGAGAGATTAAATCATCTCCATTTTTCAAGCTGGCATAGTTCCGAAACCTTAAATAACTTGCTAGGGCTTCCATGTGGGCTTCTGAGCAACGGGAGGGCAGCTGGGAGTACTTCCCACGCCCACAAGCCTTTGTGTGAAATCCCTAAAAATAGAGGCTGTTCTTTTAAAACAAAGGGAAGGCAAAGCCCCGGGAACGCTGGCGGCGCCCTATCCTCTCTTTGCTGCTCCAGCGAAGTTGTTCCTGCGAAGGTGTCTTACGTAAAGTTTGCCGTCTGATCCATTTTCCCTGCACCGTTCAGCGTGGTTAATCTCGCTCACCGTGTTGTTGCGCAACGAGCCATCGCCGCCCTGTCTAAAGCCCTTTCCATCACCCCCTACGGAAAACGCGCGCTCCCCCGCCCCCACCCACTTCCTATCTTTTTGTCTACTCTCGATATAGCCAGCCTCTAAATAGCAGAGTACAATATTTATCATTTTGTTCCTGGCTCGTCACACTTGAGCACCAAGTCCCCAACGTCCATTCTGTGCTGTGTGTGCATCGGCACCGCACTGCAGGAAAATAGGTTTTCATTTGTTTGTGGAGTTTCGTTCTCACTTTTGGCCTTCCAATGCTGGGAGTGGAATCCAGGGCTTTGTCCCGGCTAGGCTCTCTTCTACCCCTGAGCTTTATCCCCAGCTTGCAGAGGAGTTTTCATAACCCATCTCTGCCAGAAGCAAGACCCGCCACTTCCCCCAGAAGGAATCACAGATTAGCCGTCTGTGAGAAGAGGATGGACAGACAGACAGACAGGATGGTATACTGCTAGATCCACCACATGGCCATCTGGTCACCTGCCCAGCCAGTAAAGCTTTCTTCCTTCCTCGCTTTTTGGGTGATACCTGACACTTTTTTTTTTTTTTTTTACTTTAACTAGGTTCCTGTTTGCTGCCGACTTTGGGGGTGAGGGAGCCTCCTACTGAGCATCAATCTGAACTTTGGGGAATCCACATTCAAGTTCACCTCAGCCTGAGTTTACAACATGAGAAAAGGAAATGCACCTCTCTTTATAACCACTATTTCCTGCGGTTAACCCTTTTCTAAATAAAGGAGAATTGCTTCCTTCAAAGATTGTTAAGTGTCTTCTAAACCTTAGAACACGTGTGTTCATGTCATTTAAGGCTAAATAGAGAAACTCAGTTGTTTGCAAAAAAAAATATACCCTGCTTGATGTCAACTTAATTTATATATATAAAAAAAACCTTAAAAAAACACAAAAAAACTTCCTGTACCAAAAATGGTATCTTACATATTCTTAGAATAAAAAACATATCTCCATTTCTAAGCTATCACCCTATGTGACCTACTAGAAGGGTGTTCACAGCATCATTTACTTGTCATAGTTGAAAACGTGAGAGCCTAAAATGCATCAGCAGAAGACTGGTTACTTTAGGACAGAGCCACACGAGGACAGCCAATGTTTTACGTCAGGTAGTTTTCTGTGTACTGACGCTGAGCCCTGCCTGTCATATAATCAATAAAAATGGCAAGTTGCAGGACAATGTGAGTGGTGTGTGTGCTATAATCCACGTCTATATGTGTATCATTTGCACACAAAACACCATCAATCTATTGTGTTTCTCTCTCCAGAGAGCCAAAATAGTGATGTAGGAGAGGAAACCCGCTTTGATAGATACATCTGGATTTTTATTGACTTTTTTTTTCTTACAACAAGTACATGTCACTTTAGAATCTGAAGCAGAAACAACTAAGAAAGTTAGAAAGACAAATAATGTGGGGCCGATTGTATTTTCCCAAGATGGCTGCACGGATACATCCCCTCGCATCTGCTTGTCTTAAAATAGGAAATGAGATTCCATTCCCTGAGGAGATGGGCCTCCGTTTGTTCTCATGACCTGAGTGGGCTTTCGCAAGTGCCTCGGCCGGCAGACGAAATGGAAGAAGTAACGCTGTTGGGCTTCACAAGCCAAAAAACAAAGGCAGCAGGTGTTCATCTGGCCCTGAGACTCCGTGTTGTGAGGTGTGCGGAGACTGTCCAGGCCAGAGCCTGGATTAACCGACTGTGAGTGAAGCAGGCCTTTAAGTGATTCCAGCCCCCGGCAGATGGGTCCCAGGCATTGGAGAGCAAGCTGTGCTTGTTCTGAATTCCTGACTCACAGACTGAATAAAAAAGACAGTGGCTGCTTTAAGCAAATCAGTTTGGGAGTAATTTGTCACATAGCAATAGAGAGCAAACACATAAAAATTCCAACCATGATAAAAGTGACCTCCCCACAAAAAAAGTTTCCTTTCCGTTTTGTTGTTTGGGTTCACTGTTACTCCAGCTCACAGACAGTTGTGTAAACACACAATACGGCTATTAAACTCTTTTTCTTCAACTGAGTAACAACTCAAGCTGCAGTGGACCAGCGCCGTGGTGAGGCTGTAGCTCTGTGCCTCTCACCCCGCCGAGCTGTGTGTAGAAGCCTGGTCACTTCCTTCTTTCCAGAGGCTGCCGCCGAGGGCTGCCCTCTGCATGAAGGCTGGCAAAGAAATCACGGCCTAGAACAGAGGGTTCTCAGCCTGTGGGTCTCGACCCCTTGGCATCCAACAACCTTTTCACAGGAGTCACCTAAGGCCATTGGGAAACACAGGTATTTACATTACAATTCCTAACTAGCAAAATTACAGTTATGGGGTAGAAACAAAAACAATTTTATGGTTGGGGGATCACCATACTATGAGGAACTGTATTAAAGGGTCACAGCGTTAGGAAGGTTGAGACCCACTGTCTTAGAAGATGAACTCTTTTGTCTGAAAGTCTGAAGCGGGTGTGTGCATGTGCGTGTGCGTGTGCGTGTGCGTGTGTGTGTGCGTGTGCGTGTGCGTGTGCGTGTGTGTGTGTGTGTGTGTGCAATCGGAGCCTGGGCAGAATAAAGCAGAACAGAAATGTGAAAGCAGACTGAAAACATTCAACAGTGATGTCAGGATGTGTGTGCACAAAAACATATCTCACGGTCTGGACTCCAGCACCAGAGGCCAACCGCCTCAAGGAGGGTTTGGCTGGACTGGCATGTGCTTCACAATCCCTGGCTGTCCTCCACAATCATCTAGGAGTGGGTTCAGAAAACACCCCTATCTGGGGACCTGCCCCATGGATTCTGACCTCCTTGCTTGACGGGTCTGAGGTGGAACTGGACACACTGACATTTCCTCTAAACTCCTCCACTGCCAGTGGACAGCCATCTATGAAAATTATGGAATTTCTAGTCCTACAGTTTTTGTCTTTATCCAAAATACCACTCTACAGGGCTGTCTTCCTCTGGGTACATTTTTAAAAAATTAGTATTTTTCATTTTCTGGAGGTGTGGGTCTGTATGCACATACATGCACTGACTATAGGGTGCAAAGCATGTTGACCAAATCCCCAGCTTCCGCTTCCGCCTTTGTCCCTGTGCAGCTGGGAAGGGACTGAGACCACTAGGCCATGAGGGCAGGTGCCCGCAGAGACCAGAGGTGTCAGATGCCCTGGAGCTGGAGTTAGAGACAATGGTTAACCGCCTGATGCAGGTGCTGGGAACTAAACTCGTGTCCTTTGGAAGGGCAGCAAATGTTCTTAACCAGCGAGCCATCTCTCCAGCCCTCTAATTAAAACTTTAATGGCCAGAAAGATTGTAAATGTTGTCCCCGAGAGAGGCAGTATGCTACATGGTAATATTTAGCTTGTCATTGAAATTTATTTTCTAAAGTTTAAAGTTTTGTTTTTTTTTTTTTACATTTACTTGAGAGTATGCGCATGCGTGTGTGTGTGTGTGTGTGTGTGTGTGTGTGTGTGTGTGTGTGTGTGTTTGTGTGTGTATGAACATGTGTGCATGTACCCTTGAAGGTCAGAAGGGTCCCCTGAAGCTGAAGTTAGGTGGTTGTGGGCCTCCCGACATAGGCATTAGGAACCAAACTCAGGTCCTCTGCAGGAGCAGTATATGCTCTTCACCGCCATCTATCTAGTCCTGCATTTGTGGTTTTTGAGACAGGGTCTTACTCTGTATAGTCAGGCTGACTTAGAACTCAATATGTAGCCTAGACTGACCTCGAAGCTTTCAGCAATTCTCCTGCCTCGTTTGGGATTACAGGTGTGCATCGCCCTGCCTGGCTCCTTTCTGGATTTTTGAATTGTGCTTCAAAGTCCTAGGTAAGCCCAAGGGAGGGATGCCTGTCAGAAGCACTACTGGGCATTCCTGGAAGTGGGACACAGGAGCTCCTGGGTCTTAGAGGAGTAGAGGCAGGACCCTAGGGAGAATAGAATCCTGCTTGGCTTCCTGGGCAGGGCTGACTACAGAGGACGGGCCCCTCCTCTCAGGTGTCCCCAGCTCCTGTCCAGCTGGTTTCTCCTCCAGGATCTAAGGCATTTGTTGACTCTGGGAGTTTGCCTTGCAACAAGAGAAAGTCATTCTCCTGGTACCAGCCACCTGCCACCTGTCACAGGCCAGGACCTGGAAGCTTGAGAAAGCAGCATACGCAGAGGACCTGCTTGTTTTATGACGACAGTGGCGGCCTTTCCGGACTGCAATGGCACTGATTGGCATTCTGTTATCTCCTTAAAGGTCACACGCAGAGGCCCCAATGGCAGACCTTTGAGAGAGTAGATGAGCAAAGTCAGGCCTGGACCAGAGCCTGGCTCTTTTTACCATGACCTTATCCAAGGTCCTTAATGTATTCAAGGCCCAGGCTCCTCACGCCTTACACAGAGTTCATACTAACACCTCCCACGCCAACCTGCAAGAGTTATGGACCATTTTGCTGGGGATTGAAAATGGCCCAGGAGCAGTGTGGCCTGTTGTTTCATACCTCCGTACACCTACCTCCTTTCATTTTGAAAACCAGACCACCTAATGCCGTCATCCCAGAACCCCAAGCTCCTGGACCTTGCACCTTATAGGGGATCTCTTTGCACCCTCATTATCTCTAGTCCTTCTCAGGCACACCCATCAAATACCTGTGCATGGCTGACCACTGGGGTCAACCCGGAACAGACACAGGAGCAAAACCACTCTGAACAGGTGAAGAAGACAGACATTTCTCAAATTCTCCTACTGATGAGCACAGCATTGTAGATAGCAGACCAGGT